CGGCATTCCCATTCCTACCATCACGCCTGTGTTCTGTCCCATGACTGGCACTGATTGTCCCATCATGTTTCCCATCATTCCAGTTGCTGCAGGCACAGGAACTCCCATAGCTGGAAAACCTTGAAAATGAGTTGATTGTTGTGTGGTAAATGGCATAGAAGACGATCCCATGAACATACCTGTATCAGGAAAAGGAAGATTACAGAAGAAGTGTTTTGTAATGTTCTCCCCTGTCCCCTTCAGTTTGAAGTGCACCAAAACAATTCTAAAGCATAGTTTTGTCCAGTTATATCCATCAGCGCCAGTTTAGTAGCTGGCAAAACTAAGAAATTGCTTAAAACCTCTCAAAGGAAAGGGACTCGCTTATCATAGGTTAACTGCCAAAAAGAGTTTGACAAATCTTTCGGCAAATCACAATCTTTTAATCATACTACTGGAAGACTCTGGTTTCATACAAACGTAGCTAAGATCAACACATGACAACTCTGCAGCGTTCTGGCAGCTGGTTGTTTACACAGAGGAGAATCGCACACTAAGCAATGAATTCAACAGCAGAAGCTGAATTCACAAATATTTTCAGTAAATTATGTGTTTGATAATTCGAACAACTGCAAATAAATTAAAATCACATACTAGTTTTCCTTTAGCCTTGGTATTATGCTTCAGTAATTTCCTTGTTTTTTTTTTTTAATAAATGGTTGAAATAAAGTTCATTTGAATACATGTAACAGAGTAACCATGCATGATTTTACACTGGTAGGCAAGAACAACTGTATTGTAAATAAAGCTTAAAATAGGATCATGTTAGGAACATTAAAAAGATTATCTACCTGGAGCATTTTGCTGCTGCATGGTGCCTGTGCCATACAGTGATAAGATGGAGTCTTTGGAGAGTTGTTTCTTTGCTGACTCTTCTGATTTTGTTGTTTGCTCAGTGAATAGATCAAGATCCCCAGACGGAGCAGATAAGGTGGCAGCTGTTGGTTTAGTGGAAGTGCTCTGGGAAATTAAGGTCAAGACAGACTACTGAGTAGAACCAGCAAAAGTCATGTTTCATTAAATATTTACTGCACGTTCTCATTCCTGAACTAAATTAAAAGCAGTTTAGTTACAGGACTTAGCATAAAAGTAAATTGAGTGTTTTAAAAGATGTGGTATCACCAAAGCCAAAAATCCAATACATATGTTCTGGAAAGAAGAGCAGAATGAGGCTAGGAAAGAAGCGAAACCAAACCCCTGACCAATCCAGTGCTTATACATACAAGTTATTCAGTTCTTCTTGTGCCTACGTTTTTCATCAGTGAGCAGCATAAATCATGAGCTGTAGTTAGATTATGAAAAATAATTAGGAAACCAATAAGGAGATTACAATTCACATCTCATTAATCATCTCATAGGCAGAATAAATTAGAGGAGCTAAAACAAAAGATTTAGTGTTTTGGAAT